CTAAATGGAAGTGGCATCCATTGTTATTGCCATTAAGGCCTCCCTCCTGTAATTTTTTAAAAAGCAGGTAACGATATCGTTACGTAAGTAAAAAAATTGCGCAACAATGTAACGACTCTGTCGAGTTACAGAATATAGGGGCCTAAAATAAAGAGTTACGCAATAGGAGCCTAAAGTGACGTACGGTGCGGTTTAATTAGACGCAGTTGATCTGCCACTTCGATAATTCTCCATTATGCAACGTGAATTTGGAGTGCCGCGGTAACTCGAAAGCATAGAATTCTACACCGCTCGATGCTCCTCCATTAATTCCATTCCACTAATTTACGAGACATCGCGAACTGATAATAGCTTCATACGATCCCATATTTTACCTCGTCACTTTTCCGCCGTGACACAGAGATATGCGCGTCGCGTGCTATCAATTTGGAAATGTCGTACCGTACGATTATCGTATTTCGCTAGTTACTGTGTGCCATCATACGTAATTAACTATAATTCGCGAGTGAGTGTTGTGTGAATATTGCGAATCTGAAGAAACAGGAGAGTTTGAGAGGAGGACGAGGCCCGGGGAAGCATCGGGCAACGGCGGAGCAACTATGGGGTGAGTAATTTATGTATTGCTGTTCTTTTTAACTGAACTTCTTGGATAGTTTGTTTTCTATTTTTTTTTACATAAAAAGAAAAAAAAAGGAAAGATGAATCGTGTAAGAAAAAGGCCTAATAATTCATTATTTTTTATTTTGGCTAAAAATAACAGGTCTTATTATTTTGCTTTTAAATTGTAATTATTTGCATTAGAGTAATATTGTATTAGTATTCGCATAATATTTCGATATCAATTATTTTGGGCGTTGTGATAATTTGGACAAATTTGTATCTTACAGATCGACGCCGTATTGAAATGCAGTTATAACTCCGCCGCTGCGCATCTTACCTGTGAGTCAAGTTTCTTTTCATTTTATTTTAATGTGAAGGAATGGATCAAAAGAGAAAATGTATGATAAATAAATATAGCATCTCTTGCGGATCCATTGCTTCAAAATTGATTGATATGTTTAATTCTGGAATATCGTTCATCGATTTATGGTACATAGAAAAATGTACAACAATGAGATTATAAAATAGAGCTCGAAATATCATTTACTCTCATAAATTTGTATCTTCTATGACAGAATATGTAGAAGATATATTAGACTGTTAGAAATTCATAGAACAAATTATGAATATAAATAAGAGGAAAAATATTTTACAGATAAATCAAGCTTGGTAAAAAGTGATTAATATTAGAGTAATTTTTGCAAGAAATTGTTTTTAAATTGAATGTCTTTGATATTATCATCTTTTATGTTTTTTAACTAAGCGTTTCAAGATTTTCTTTGAGATTTATAAAAATCCTCTCTCTCTCTCTCTCTCTCTAGATATATTAAATTCAGTTAAATCTTTAAGTTTATTAAATAAATGAAAGTATGAAGAGAAAAAAATTAAAATTCAATTATAACATATTTTTACAATATAAAGCTCTGGCATATTTTTACAATGTAATGCTTTTACTTTAAGCTTTTCGTGGTATCTAAATATATTTCATGGATGATAAAGATCGAAAGAAAATGAAAGAAAAAAATTATTAGATTGTTTAGATGTGGCTTATTTTATTTTCTTTTTTTCTTCTGAAAAATTTCAATAGAATATGAGATTTGCATTTGATCTTTATTGTCCCTCTTCCAGAGTTAAATATTATATAAACTGATGCACACACAAGAAAGAGAGTATATTATAAACATTTTTAATAAATATATATATGGCACAAAAGTAAATAGAATAACTGAAAAATTTTAAATAACATATTCCAGATAATTTAATAAAATTAGCATTATCTACTAATTCTATAAATAAGAAACAAACTAATAATTAATTGCATTTATTCTTGTAATGTGCTATGTTTCGTCTTATTCTCTTTTTTGTAATATGTCCATCCACATATTTATTGATAAATCGATTTTGTATTATTTAAAATGGTATGAGATCCACTAAATGTATTTGGTCACCGCATAGAAAAATTATTTTACATTAAGAAAATTATTTATTACCTTAAGGACAAAAATAATTATGTAACTCACTTCTTGAAATTTGTTGCATTTGCCATTCGCGATTAGCAGAAATTTATTTTTTTTATTTATCACTGTTTAATGATATATAGCAAATCTGTTTCTAACAAAACGATATTTGTGTTATGTTATCGATAATTTAAACTATGTGGAATATCAAGTATCATCAATCATATTCAGTCGACATTATATCTATCTAAATTTAGAAAATTGAATATATACAACGCGTAATATAATCGATCTGCAATTTAAAACAGAAATGGGATGGCTACGGTTCAAAGCACAATAAAAATGCAACAATTAATAAAACTATATATGTTCATGTATTTTGAATTAAATCGCATATTTGCATTGTTTAATATTTGTTAAACTCTCACCGGGGAATTCAACATTTTTTATCTCATAATACAGTATTATACTATTAGTATACCTATAAATTGTGTACAGTATACTATTGCTAATCTATTATATTTCTTGGCGCTCCTGGTCCTTTACTATAAAAAAATGCTAAAATTTCATGAATTTCACATTAGTTATGATGATAAATGAATAAAAAAGAAAAATTAACGTGTTATACTGTTGACATTATTTCGTTACACATCAGCTGAAAATGCTTTCATAAACATGTTTTTAAAAATATATTTTATGTCAGAGATTGCGTTTATACATGGGATATGAAATAAAAAATGAACTGGTCATGTTAAAGAAAACAGAATAAATTTCTCTCTCTCCTCTAGTTATTTTTTATTAAGATTATTTATTTAATGTACTATAGTGTCTTTTTGAAATAGTAGATACATTTGATAAACTTTATATTAAACGAAACATATGTAATTTAAAGTAAAAAATATATTTTTTAAATTATTTTTAATTTCATTAATTATTTATGATGCATCTCAGACAATAAAAATAAAAGCATTTTCTTTTATGTGCAATATTCAGTTTTTACAAGTATATTATACACGATAAAGATATCGTAAACGTATACGTATGTAAATATTACGTAGCACAATCATAAAAATTACATCTTTACAAAAATATTTACGTATTAATATATTTGAGTTACCAACATATAAAATATCTTATTTGCGAATAATAAGATAAAATTAGAAAAACAAATCAAATTGATTTTGATGAAAGCTATTTAAGTATTAAATTTGTAGCATTCTCACTATTTTCTAGAACATGTGCATATACACGACGACTAACGAAATGGTTGCATATAATGCATTTATAAATATAAAAATTTTTAGAGAAATAAAACATAATCGGCAACATAATTTTTTACATCGTTTATAAAGTTGACATACTTATTAATATTTATCTTAATATTATATGAAATTAGGCTCTTAAAAATTTATTCGCTTCATATGATTTTCATGACGTTATACAATAAATATTCTTTTGCATTCCGCACGATATAATGGCAAGTTATAATAATTTACAAAAGTGAACATTTTGTTAGGTATTGTGAAAACCCTCACTAATTTGTAAAATCTAATATATTATTAGATGTATCAAGAATGCGTTCAAAAACACTATATGAGTCCTTTCGAGTATAACTTTATTCTTGTTTAAAATTTTCGATAAATAACAAGGATAAGATGATACTCAAAGGTACTCTGATAGTATTTTCGAACGCAGCTCAAGAAAATTCTATTGAAATTTTATTACTAACTTTAAAATCTATACGTACCACAAGGCACTGATAGGAAAAAGTATAAGTGCCAATAAAAATAATCCCAATTCATGATTTTACTTAATTCTCTCTAATGGATGATCGTTAAAACTATTCTATTCTAGAATTATTTTATAATAAAAGCTTAGTAAGTGTATATTTTAAGTATCTCTTTTTAAACTTGATAAGTACTTATTATTTTTTCGCATGTTTTAACTATATACAAGCATATATATATATACAGGGTGGGGAAAAAGTATGGAAGCAAACAATTATTTCCGAAACTATTCATTTTTCGACAAAATGTCTTAGACATAATTTTTATGGTATGAAAAGATGTATTATGTGGCATAGACGGCATGACCTTGAAATGACCCTTACGAGCTGCATACAAATAACGTAAATATATATGTTTGTATATATGTTTAAACTATTAAAGAGTTTTATATACACTACCGTCGAAAAGTTTCCGGACATGGAACTTAAAATTGCATAACATTCAGGTCATCGTAACTCGGTAAAAAATCATTACAGACAAAAAAATAAAACAGCATTTTAAAGCTTAAAACTTATATTTCAGCATGACCGCTTTTAAAAAAAATTTTGTCTTTATGATACTGTATCTTAATAAATATCACGTTGTTGTATTTTTTAAAATTACGTACATTTAACAGTGCACAGTTTGATAAAAAGTTTTTTTTCGAGAAACAGTACAAAGATTTACCTCCAAAATGCCTTTTTAAAAATTTTCTTATGATTTTTCTTGACTAAATTACGCAATATTGAAGCTAAACCTGCATTGTTAAATAACTAACGGTGAAATTTGGTACAAAATCACAAAAAATTTTATCTTCTCAATTCTGTAGAATTACATTTAAAAACAATCAGAAACTTAAAGTACAAACTTCGAACTTCAAAATACTTCTTTAATTTTTTACGATGGTATTTCACCGAATTTTAATGTTGTGAGCTATGCAGGTTTAACTTTAATAATGTAATTCAGTCAAGAAAAATCATAAGAAAATTTTTAAAAAAGCATTTTGGAGGTAAATCTTTGTATTGTTTCCCATAAATATTGAATTTTTTGAAAAAAAAAAAAAACTTTTTATCAAACTGCGCACTATTAAATGTACATAATTTTAAGAAATACAACAACGTGATATTTATTAAGATACAGAACTGTAAAGACAAAATTTTTTTGAAAAGCGGTCAAAGCATGCTGAAGTATAAGTTTCAAGCTTTAAAATGCTTTCTTACTTTTTTGCCTGCGATGATTTTTTACCGAGTTACGATGAACTGAATATTATGCAATTTTAAGCCCCATGTCCGCAAACTTTTCGACAGTAGTGTATATATAAAATTATCATTGCTCTGGAGCGTACGCATACAACTAAAGAAAAATAAGTAACTGTTTAGTACTCTTATAAGATCCATTCTCATGAATCCATTCTCATTCTTAAGTCATTTTTCAAATAAATTATTGTACAATAACTTCAGAATACAGAATGTAATTTAAACAAACAAATTCGAGGAATATCATACGTTAGTACTTGTCATTAAAAGAAGTTTGTGAGATTTCACATTGAATTCATCCTACTCGGGTAATTAAAATATGTTGCTTTCTTAAGATCGCCAATAATAAAATAAAAAGATTTACTTTAAGCTTGAGCGATGATAATACGCAAAAACAATTGCGTGTGGTCCACGTCTAAATATCTGAAGATATTATTAGCATTGTCGAGAAAACACTCCGCATCTCGAATTACCCGATTAGGATTGCGCAACGTGTGATATCTTACAAATGCGCTCTACTTATTATCAATTATTTCTTTGAACATTTGTGCACAATATGTAGGATAAGGTGGTACAATTTTCAACATTGTTCAATTCTAAACGAAATAAAATCTGATTTTCAAGATTTAAATATGGTAATCCTCTCTTTATGTGGAAGGGTATTGAACTCGGTACTAAAGGTTACTAAATAAGAAAAAATCAAACTTCAAAAATTTAATTCAAATCTTATTTCGTTTAGAATTGTACGATGTTCGAAATTGTATCATTTTATCTTATATGAATGTACTATTATCAGTATACTGCATAATCTGTGTCACATCTGATTTGAAACATTTTGTCATGTACCTGAGGTAATCATTTCATAAAAATATCTTTCTTCATTATACATAATACCCTGACAACTATATAATTTCTTTCATATCAACAATCAGATCTATTTACAATGATAGAACGGTATTGAAAATAGGTATTTTTCGTACATATATTCGACTGTATTTTGCGTGTTAAAAGATTTAAGTTTTAATATAAGGAATGGCAACAGCAGGAAAATAAGAAACCGAAATAAAGATACATCACGCTTATTCTGATGGATTCTTTCGGCTCGGAACAATCTTGCTCTTTTTCTTTGTTGAATCATTTAATAGGCATTCTTCTCGAATAGATTGAGGATATTTTTGATCAGGATAGTTCCACGCCTGTATGTCGGCTGTACCAAATATTTGGTAGGCAATATATGTACTGCAAGATACACCTGCAGTAACGGCAAATACTCTTCTCCACGAATCGAGAGATTGCTGCAGAAAACGTAACGTTATTTTGGCTTTTTAGAAAGAGATAGAGATAGAGAAAAATAAAAGAAGAAAATATAAACGCTTACGCTTTCTTGTGTGAGCAGACCAGCTGCTATAGGAGATAGGAAACTAGCGGTCATGTGAATTGTCTGCGCGAATGCTAACACTGGTCCTGAAAATAATAAATATTGATTTATAAATTCATATTTCCATACAAATAAATATATTCGTACTGAAAATACGCGCACTGACCAGCAAAATTGGGTGCGATGTCGACGACGCTGGCCATTGCGCCCGCGTAGCCGGCTGTTATGAGAGTAACAGCTATAAACCACACGATTAAAACCAGGATAATATCGCAGCCCAAGTATCCAATTAAGACCATAAGTATTCCGGGAACCACTTGAGCTATAAGCAAAAAAAATCGATTGCTGCAATTTATCTTCCGAGTATTGGTTAATTTAAGGAAAGTCACAAATGAACTCACATAGTGCGGTATTTATCTTGCGCACAGTGATTAAAGTCATGATTTGCCGCGTGACTAGGAGATCCGCAACGTAGCAGAATACAACGGAGCTTAGGTAGCTACAGATAAATGGTGCACCTGACAGGATACCGTTCTAAACGAATTAATAACGTTTATTATTATATGCGTTAGCCATTATGTATTGAAAAAATTTTAAAAAGAATATTTTCAAATGATAAATACGTACCGCTTGTATACTGAATCCTAACACCGTCTTCATATACATCGGGCCGGGAATGATAAAGACATAATGTACCCATATTCTTCCGAAGGTTGTAATACCGATAGCCCATGCTGGCAAAGACGTGAGTATAGACTTCCAAGGAACGGGCAGATCCTTTAAGAGAAAAAAAAAAATGTAATTACGTGCGTTCATTCTAAGATATTTCTTAAATGCGTTTTCGGTATGGCATACTAGGCTTCTTTTTCAATGTTTTTTCTATTGCTTATAATTTTTTTTTATTATTAAAAATAACTAACTCGGGCTCTCGAGATTAAAACACAATAAAATAATGTACGGACAATAGAGCTTTACACAGCGCGGGAGTTGGTGCACAATTTATATAACAATCATAAAATGTTCTAATATATTAAAAACAATGACTTCCAATATAAACTTATTAGGACGTTTCAGTTTACTTCAAACCATCTTCAGTCAATTCGTATAACATTAAAATAGATGTGTCGACAGAAAACGTTGGATAAAGTTAAAATTATGCTTTATGTGAGACCGAGGATGAGTATCTCCCTGGGAGATTGTCTGGTTGGGAGTAGCTCAATTTCTGTCTCTTCGCTGTTTAGCCAAATGACTAACCTTCTCCATAGCTCAACTCAGTTATTCAAAGCGCAAGTCAAATTATAAAAGGTACGATTACAAGACGCAACTATTTTCATTATTAATTAAAGAATAAATTGAAACAATATAAAATATACGATCGTCACAAGTGTTATCCAGATGGAAGTCAGATAAGCAACGTTACTTATCTGACTTCCATCTGGATAACACTTGTAACAATTATCTATTTTATATATATTGTTTCATTTTATTCTTTAATTAATAACTTTAATTAATAGTATATTATATGAACATTTTATGATTGTTATATAAATTGCGCACCAAATCCTACGTTGTGTAAAGCTCTCATTGTCTGTACATTATTTTATTGTTTTTTTTTTTATTAATAAAGATACATTTGCCTGGAACTATTATGTTTCTTAATGTCTAGCGTTTCGATTAAAAAGAATTTTTTTATAATATATTCATTTTTATGAAAGTTATAAGCAATTGAATTGGATTGAGTACGCTATACATTAGTGTCGTTTCCGAAGTGAGGTGTTTAAGAGTTAATAATCACTTACTATATATGAATCACTTTACCTCGTCTGCTCCGATAACTTGATTTCTAACGCATTCCTGAATGTAACGAAGTTCCGGCTTAGATATTCGGGGATGCAAAGCAGGTGTGTCGAAGGCGCAAAGATACCAAAAGATACACCAGACGAGACTGATGGTGCCAGTCGTGTAGAATACAATCCTCCATCCGAAGTGGGCGATGATGAACGCGCACAACGGATAGGTCAATCCAATGCCGATGCTGAACCCTGAATATAGACAATCTAGATGTTAGGAATAGCTCACCCTACGATCCGGAAGGAAGCTGAAACATGATGCTTGTCGAATGGTCTTCATCTTGATTTGTTACGACTCATGCGTGGTGATGATCACTCTTCAGTTGAGGTGTATCGTATCTCACTCTGTAAAGCGATTTAAGTAAAGACTTAGTACGCAGGGACGGTGATAGGGCATGATGAAGCTGTTAATAGTGGGACAATGAAACTTCTATGTCTGCAAATAATAAAAGTTTAAACTCTCGTTCTACCTGCAAAATAAGTGTCACTCTTCTTACGCAGAGAATCACAAAAAATATATCATATTGAAAAAATGAAGTTATACGCGTATAAGTCAAGAAGAAAGTGCAGATCTTTATTTCCATAATAGCATTTCTATTGTTGCTGCCTTGTGTTATTTGTTATAAATACACTCGTGTGCAAATTTATGTACGTTCATAATTAATATTTTTAATACCATAAATTATACTCAAAATAGTCAAATAACATTTGTTTAATGACCACTTTAAACGATTTATAATTCATGTCAGAATTTGAGATATTTTTGATAATTTTATATGTATAATACGAAAAGAAAACATTTACAGAATTAGAATACAATAAATAAAATATATATTAAAAAATACACAGCATATAAAATCAAACTATTTATTCTATTCCTAAATCAGACGCGAATTATAGATCGTACAAAACGGATTGGAGGATATAAATAATATTCGATATTTTGTGCTAATAGAAATAAAGTCTAATAGGTAGCTTAGGTGTAATAGTTTAGAGAGCAAAAAAAAATTAACGCGCGCCATAGTGTGAATAAAACAAATGTATAAAATGAAACTTGTGGTCCGTCTCTGGAAAAGTTTGAGTGAGAAAGATGATTAGAGATTTATTAATTGCGCGCGCGCGCGTACTGCAGACAAATGAATGTAGTCAAAAGATAGAATTTGTACATATAAGAAAGACAAGTATATAGAGACAATATACATGTTCGACGAGTCCGGCTGATTCTACCAGCTGGAAGTATACTCGGCCTTTCTCATGCTGTTGAGCGGTCGCTGTTGAGTATACCCCTCGGTCCGGCGAATGCAACCTCGTGGAGATGAACTATTTCGGGATCATTAACAAGTGATCAATTCTGGCGCAGATCGATGCGCAACGTTTATAGAGAATTATTTTCATTTTAGCAAGAGATTATTTTCTTGATCCGGAATTTTGACTGAAACAATAATATGTAGTTTCTCATTCGAACTTCCGTATTCCATTCTGAAAGAAGCGTGCATTAGTATTCTCGTGAACACAATCGAAAGAAATATGCGAGCTGCATTTTACGGCATTATATACTTGCGACTGTAATATGAGGCTACGCGCATAGTTTTCGCCTAATTTTGGATCGAACGTATCGAAGTTTCACTGTAACACACGAAAATCTCTGTTAGCCGGTAATTTATAACATACCTTGAAAGGAAGACATGAAGCGTGAGCGTTCCACGGGTGGAATCCAGTGCCCGATTACGGCGTACATCGCGGGCCACGTGAGTCCCTGTTCTCAATAAAAAAATCAACATAAGTCACAAAAATCTTTTCTTGCTATCCTAATTAATAGATAAATTTCAATAATATTTAAAAGATTGTTCTATCCAAAAGATTTGAAATGTCTTTTAGTCTTTATGATATTCTTTAAATATTTATCTTGTCTAGATATACGATAGTAAAGTTCATCATATAAAGGATTAATAGTTTAATTAATTAATTATATATATAAATAATATATAGCAAATTAGGTGCAATGAGTTTCACATATATTGTAGCTTATAATATGGTGAACAAAAATGTTACATACACATGACTCAAAGCATGGATAATTCTTAAATTATGGTACGTCAAAGATGCTTCGTGAGCATCAGTTTTACTCTTTTAATACACCATAAAAACTCTATTATTTAGTTTTGTGATCTTTTGGTCACCACATTGTAAGTTGATCATATGTGAAAACTAACTGATTTCACTGGGACTCAATTTTCCGTATAATTATAGTGCGGGGTTTTTTTATTTGATGATTAGTGACTTACACTGGCAAAGCCCTGTATACTACGTAACGCTATCATGGCCCCATAATGAATCTCCGCGGCAGTCGGCATAAGCAGACTGCAAACGGCAGTGATGACTTGAGATCCGCCGAATATGGTTTTAGTACCGAAGTACTGAGTGAGAACACCGCCGAGCATTTGCGAAAGTATATAACACCAATAAAAGGAACTGAGAATGGCTGATTGAATAGTTGGACTCCACTCGAACTCACCAGCGTCCTGTTTGTAAGAATAAAGATATGATATATTATAGTGCAGTATATGCGCAAATATTCTGTTAATTGCGATAAGTTTGAATTAAGAGGATTAGCTTTTTACCGGATTGAAAAATGGGGAGGGAAGGTTAAACTTATTAAGAAAAAATTTATTAAGAGTTAAATTTATTGACGGTCCAAGGAAGTGTTTAATAAGTATTAGTTTCAATCTTTCCTGGTCACAAATCATTCGTTGTTTTCTTAAAAATTATAGTTTTAAAAAGATAGAGTAGGGAAAGATTTATAGTTTTTAAGAACAAATAAATAAGCGATATACTTTTAATTTAATAAAATCTTTCTTGTTGTGCTAATGGTTTTTCTTCATTACTAATGGTGAAAAATTTTTAGTAACTCATTAATCTTACTAGCTTGAATTATCTTATAAAACAGGTGATGAAATTATTTCCATAGCAAAAAAAGTTACAGTAATATCATAATAAAATTAAGATGACGCGCAAATGTCCGCTTTGTCACAGATTGATATTGTTATGACATCAATATGAAACTGTGATAAAGGTTGTCACCTCACTGTGATATTGTTGACACATACAGATTAAGATAATATGATGTCACACACTATGAGCTTTTAATACACAATGACATCATAATTTATTTATGATTATTGTGAGTAAATGTGATATTTTTTGTTATGGTAATAACATAATTTGCTCTTACAATCACTTATTTGATCTGCTATTGAATTTTTTTTCATAACTTTACTTTGTTTTTTTATTAAAACTTGTACACTGAATATTTTTTAAAGAAATTTTTCTTGGTCTTGACGTCAATACGTTAAATACATCTGTTCTTACGTTATATATTACGACATACAAAGTATCTATACCGCATTCATTGTACTCAAAGAGATTATCGTGATGTTGATCTTGCCAGTTCACTATATACAATAAAGTATTCCGACTAAAATAAATCTGTCAGCGCGACTGAACAAATATTTACTAATATGAGCCATTCAAACCTCTTCAGACCTGATTTTAATAGATTTTAACTGTATTAAAAAAACGTTTTTAAAATTTAATTCAAGGGAACTTTATTAAGTAATTTATACTAAACAATTAATTTTTTCAAAATTTTAACTATTTTTTTAACATATACATTATTATGGACAGCTGCTCTAACATGAGGTCGATAGAATTAAATAATTTCAAGATATCTTCAAATTTGATATCCATTACAATGTATACAGGATTTGAAGGGATTAATGCAATTTGATAAAAGAGAATTGTATAAAAGAACAAAAAATTTTTCTCTGCATAGATTGGAAAGTTCCTTTTTTGTCGGGGAAATAAAAAAATTGTTATTTTGAGGATCTGACAAAATGAATGATACATGGATAAAAAAACAAATAATGTGTACATTATACAATTGTACCTCCGGTCTGATTACAGTAGTGTTCTCTGAATATGACGTATTTGATATTGTGTTGCACTGAGACGTTACCACGGCGGTTTCATTGTCTGATGTTGATGGCAACTTCGCCATAGCCACCATAGCGATATTAATGTCCGTTCTCATCATAAAAGATACGAGGAATCCGGAAAACGAAAGCATGTACAGCACGACACGTGCTGGAATCATATCTGCAATCATAAGATCAATCTGATTATTAAGAACCATATAAACCGGATCGATTTGCAGTAGAAAGTGTAGTGATAATACAAATCGTTATTTTTTTCTTTCTTTTTTTCCAAACAAAAAATTGTTTTGTTATGCTAGTATATTATAAAGGATTACCTCCCAATTTTCGAAAACTGCAAGGTGGCTGTTCCTTGTACATATCGGATTCCTCATGTCTGTAAGATAAAATTACTGCATATGTAACATTTTTTGTAGTAAGTAAAAGTCGTATTTTTCAAATAAAATTGTCAATTTTCTTTAATTTATAAAGGAAGGATCAAGTAGTGTGTACTCGGATTTCGCGTAACTTTAAATAAGTTTGGTATTTTTCCCCTCACTAATTTATAAGCAAATAGCACGACACAATATTCAAGTATTTGCGAAGAATTTGAAAGTTTTGGAAATTTTTATTAAATTACGAATCGATATTGTACGTACGGAAATTAATGTTGCAGAAATTAATGTTAAAATATTAAAATGTTTTAATTATAAAATAACAATTTTTTTTATTAGATACATGCGTTGCCTAATTATTCATTTAAATACAAATTTTGTAAGAATTTACAGAAAAAAAGACACACGAGAAGCTTTTGACGCAAATTTCTTGCGCATACTTAAATATTATTTATTACTTGTTCATGAATACGAGGAAGAGGGAGAGAGTACTAATCATATTTAAAGTTAGGCTAAATCTGTGTGTATATATATATTACTTAGCCGTCCTCTAGTTAGAGAATAATTTAATATCTGTGAGTAAAGTAAAAAATTATGAAAAATCTGATAAAATAATCGTAACAAGTTTCTTAAAAATACCAAGTAATATCGAGTACTTGTCTATTTAAAATGTTAATAAAAATAAAAACCATATTATTTAAAACGGATACGTACAACAATTACAAATACGAATAAAAACAAGAATATATTTAAATTTTGATTAAAATCTAGCTTTTCACCTTTGAGATTCTTCCATTCCTTGCGTGGAGCGTTTGATATTTGAACAGAGTACAAAAACGAATCTGTTGTAGATAAAGATCACCTTGGACTCTGCAAAATAGAGAAAATTAATCTAATTTAATAATTATCACTTTATAAAAAATTAGTTTTTTAAATTTATGTGACATATCGGTTTATATGAGTTTTCACGGTATTTGAACTATTGCGTCAAGATCATGATTTATGCGAACAGAATGAAATTCCAACACGAAACTCATATCGACATTCTTGAAGTCCTTGTAAACGCCTCTGCAAAAATTTATCTATAAATATCGTGCTATTCCATTAAGAATCCGAAAAAATTAATTATAAAAAATAATTACTTTCTTTTGACTTTACAGAAGTTTCTACATGATACTTTTTCTCTTTTAATTATTAAATATCTTGCAAATCGTGGTTTTGTTACGGTATCAACAAATTATAAGCAATAGTATAATTTCCATTATTTAAAGATTTTTCGTGCCAATTTGTTACATACATGAAGCCTTTGTATTTTATGGAATAATAGATATGCATAAATAATTTTATATCATTTATTTAGTTTAACGTGAGCCTATTCTACAATTGCGCAATTGTAAGTGATCGTAGTTGTAAAAATTCACCAATTATAACTAAATACGAGAAAAATATCCGACTGTGATTGGCCAATTCTTACAACTACAACCACTAACAAATACACTTACGCAATTGTAGAATAGGCTTTACCGCGATTATTTAAATTACAGTATAACGCAATTCCAACTAATAGCGAATTCGATTGGACGTAAGTACTCAGAGTGCACTTAAAGTCGTTACATATTAAAGCCATCATATACAAATAAAGATGTGTGTTTAATATAAATGTAAAAACGGATTAAACTGTGAAATTCTCAATATATTTTATTGTGATATTAAATAAAATCTATATTTTATAATTCGAAATATTTGCATTTTACTTTTACCCAGATTAGATCAGTGTACAACACGGTTTTAATATGCACACTATAAAAAAATAAAATGTTAATTTCAACTTAAAGATGTATAGTGGACTTTCTGAAACACGCAAAATGTTAAAATTAATATTTTTGTAATTTCATTTTAACATTTTTGCATATTTCACAATGTCCATTATTCTTTACTCTTTAAGTTAAAATTACCACTTTATTTTTTACAGTGCACATTAATGTGCAGACTAATGCATTCAACCGAATTCACTATCATATGATAAAATTATCACATTTTTTCTTCACAAAAGAAATTTCCATACTTAACAAAACAGCTAGAAAAGTGCTATTATATTTTCGCGACATGTTTAAATTACACATAAAAATATCGTTTAAAATATCGTTTAAAATATTTTGCGCACAATGAATTGTGTTTAACACATTTCTATACCAATTCTATATGTTTCTAATAATCTTTAAATAACATGTTTAATTATTCTTTCTTGCTATTTTTAGATAAAACACAAGAATAATTAAAGTTGTATATGGAATTATATACTTCCGCAAAAACAAAAATTGTTGAAACAGTCATTTATAGAATTGAAGAACGGCTTGAATAAAAAAAGAATACAATAATTTTTTTTCTGGAAAAAAAATATTAATTACACTTGGAAAATTAGTGCTAAGTTTAACACACGTTCCGTATAGCCCATTCAGATTTTCTATTTTATTTTAACATAAGATGAATATTTAATTAAAGTAATACAAATATTATGTAAAAGAATTAACACAAAAATGTAAATCACAATTTGTAAGTAAACTGTGAAAGTATATTTTTCAGTAAAATTAACACTTTTTGATATATTAAATTAACACATGTATTTATTCATTTAATCTTGAATTTACACTTTGAAATATATTATTTTCCTGTTATTTGTTTATTTATTCATAAATTGTACTCTTTTGATACTAAGAAATGTTAATGTAATGTAAAATTTATACATTAACAAATAATATAATCACATTATGTTAAATTAGCACTCGGATATGTTAAACATTTATCTCTGAAAAATAAATAAATAAATAAAATCTCTAAAAAATATAAATTATATAAATTATAAAACTATAGAAACAATATTAAACAAAGAGTTTTTAGGACCTTACATGTGAACGCATAACAAGAAAAAAAAAACAGTCAAGTTGGATCTTAAGTGCTTAAATAATTCTATGTAAATTTATATATTACTTATGTAGTCATTTAAATTGTGCGCTAAATTGATTTTTCGGTTTTGAAACGCAAATCAATTAAACTACAATAGTAATACTCCACAAATAAAATTACTTAGCAATTTACTAATTTGATGCAGACATTTTATAAAGATCTTATTAATGCTGGATAATATATTAAAATTTGTAAATAATTTTATTGCTAAAAATATAAAATTATATAATATCGAGTTAAAAATTTAATTCAAAATTTTAACGAAACTTAAGTAGACCGGTAATACAAATACTTAGTGTTTTTGATTGTGTGCACAAACTTATTAGGAATACAGAAAGAAGATGTATTGAAAAACATACCTATAGAAAATATTAAGATCGACACAGAAGAACGAAGTTTGACCGATGAGACTGATAATGGAAATGAAATTGAAAAACATACAAAGATAAGATGACAAAGGCAAGGCATAGAAAATATGGAAAAGGGGGGAATATGTAGGAAGGAGAATGTATAGAATGTTGGGAAAAATTAGGTAGGAGATAAAAAATTAAGGAGGGACGACATAAACAGTAATTCCTTGTGATTTAGCTAAATTCATGTTTTTGTTTCCTTATATGCACCATTTCAGAAATTAATCTTTTATTATAGCTTGATTCGTTTGAAATCTGTAAGTCATTACACTTAGAATTTACCGTGATTAGTTGCAAGACTGCGGTTGAATACAACAGGAGAACCACTTTTCTTTTTGAACGTTAATAATGTGCTTATGGACTTTAGTTTTAAGTTGATGTTTTGTCTGTTCAACATATGTCATAATCATGACATGAAATTTTGTACACTATGCATTGAGTTGATTGTGAGATATAGGCCGGTATTCATAGTCGATTTTTATATTTAAAACTGTCCAAGTATAGTTTTAAAATATCATCAATCAGAGAGCCGTATTAGTATCTTAAGACATTGCTTAAGATGGTCTTAACATAAGAACTGATTATATATTGGCCGTAAATTCTAAGACAGCCTTACTGATTTTTATATATTTTTTGAGGATAGGCAGAAAATTTTCTGAGATGATATCGATATAAGGAACAGTGTTTCTCTTTAATGATGGAACAATTATCTACCGGAAAAAGTGGATTTCCCGTATAAGTCCAATAACAAATTAATTTTTTAAATAACAAATTAATTTTTTAAAAAATTACAAAAAGGAATGAAATGTATGAAAAAGCATAAATTTATCAATAAAAATTTTGGCAGATAATTATGCAAGAATTTATAGTCAAAAAAATAATTTGAGCATTGTGTGCAGATAAAACCCATTTCAAATATATATATATTTATTCTCTATAAAATATATAATCTTATTAACAGAAAAATTTTAGACTAAATTTAAGATTTCTCAGATTTAAGTTGCAGCTATATGATGCTTTTTTATTTTACTTGCATTCAGTGTTTTAAAATATCGGATAATTCACTGAGTAATAACATTAGGTCTGTTAGCATTGCTTCAAAAAAATCCCTCAAAATTTTTGAACCTAAAATGAGACAAATATTTGAAGAGAGAAAGCGAAGATGCTGAGTCCATAAAGTACAAACAACGCGAATAGACCTTTTATGTCACATATGATGATAAATGTGCATAAAGTAAAAAATATATATAACTAGAGTTTACATAGTATTTTTACGTGGTGAATGAAGCATTTTTATATAAAAACTAACTTATCTGTACAAGTAACTATCTTATCTAACTATCTACATCTGTAAAAGTTTAATAGAACTTTTATCTTATAAGAAAGTTACATAAATCGTAACGTTATTTTCATTTTTCCATAAGAAATGGAACAATCTCGGGATATAAGTGATGAGACATTGTATAAAATTAAAAAATTGATATAATACACTTTAACTTCTGAATGAAGAATTTATATGAATGAAACGATGTTATTATTAACGGTATTATGTTATATTAATATTTTAACGATAAAAAACTTGTATCATTAAAACGATATTATATTAAATGTTTATGAAGATAAATTATTATTACATCATCTATCTTCCGTGTGAAAAGAATTACGCTAGTATGACAATGCGCGATCAGGTTTTTTTTTCCAAGTAATTGTATGCGTCGTTAGTTTCAATATCGAAGAATCATGTCGATGAAGTGATGTTGAAAAGTTAGTATAAATTCATATAGTTCGATGAGAGAATGTAAGAATGTTTGCTAGCAATAGCGAATGAGGAAATTTACATCACATTAGCATATTTTCTCGTTTTCCGACAGTCATGTTGAGTGAGAAACGACCTCGATACATCGATGGATCACAACTGATAAGAGCTAGCGAAGAATAATAAATCATAAGTCACAAATGGATAAATTCATGAAAAATGTAAAAAAATGTGATTGGCCTCTTCGAAATGTCACTTACGTCGAAGATAAAGTTCCGAGATATGTAGATATCCGAGATTACGACTTTACAAAATGCAACAGGCGCGACTCGAAGCGTGTGGTGAACGGAAGAAATCGCGATACGCGATTGACATGACTGCAGACGGAACGAAGTGTCGACACTGAAAGGCGACCGAACCAAGGCGTCGAATATCTTCATTGACCCCACCATTGCACCGGTTTTCGACGTGTTCTTACAGTACGAGAAGAACATGTATGGAATATTACTATACTAGGGGTAAAACACGTGACATTTTTTAGTAGTCGATTATTACTGATAGTCACATGCTATACTCAAAGTTTTAAATGAATGATTCATCTGTTCTTTATCGATAAACTGATGGTATATACCAATACAGTAAATTGAAGTAAAACAAATATAAATAGTACACCATGTGCATTAGTTTAGAGAAACAAATTAATTAAAATATATTTTTATTATAAATATAAATATCTTTCATTATTTATTATTTTTTATTTATTATTTATTATTTATTATTTATTATTTATTATTTTTTAATTAATTATGTAAATATTTTTTATTTCTATTTTTCCAGCCTACGTATAACTAATTACTCATATCTTTTCTTATGTAATGAATGTATTTAATAAACCTGTTTTTTATTGATGAATTATTTATTGTTTATAATGTATTTAATAAACCTGTTTTTTATTGATTAATTATTTCATCAATAAAAAACAGGTTTATTAAATACATTCGTTACATAAGAAAAGATATGAGTAGTGAGTTATACGTAGACTGGAAAAATGGAGAAATAAAGAATATTTACATAATTAACTAAAAAATAATAAATAAGAAAGAAGATATTTATAACAAAAAGATATTAATTATTTTGTTATGGAAACATTAGCTCTACTTGATTATTTTTAAAGCAAATATGATAAAGAAGTAACGCTGATGTAATCACTGACTTAATAAATTATCATATTCCCATTATAATGGAATCTGTAAGATGTAATTAACTGAGAAATAACTGTTGTTTCCTTACAAGAATGAATCTTTGAAATATGTGTGATCATGTTATATAATAATACCTAATAATACGTTAAATGGATATAATCCAGGAATGCGTTATATCATTAGTAATGGATTTAATTAAGTGTATCGTTAACAATAGATTTAACAACTTGTGCATTTTTCTGTATTGGCGAATATATTAGCAATGATATTTCAGTTCAAGGAAAAACATTTTCTTTTTTATTACTAGCCTTTTTGTGCGCGTCATAAGTATTTCATTATTTTTTCTATACAGCTGTTAATAACACATCGCATACATACTTATGAATTATTTCACGCTCTCGGTTGTAACATTCTTGAGTATATTTTGCGATGAAATATAGAGACCGTTCTTTGATCGATAGTTTTGTGTTGTATTATGACGAGAAATGATAACGTGTAATATCTGTTTATATTTGACCTTAAAAGTTCCAAGGGTCTCTTAAAGTATAGATTATTTTTCCGATGATATATGAGTTAATAAAATATGTATAAATTTATAGTCCAAACCGATGGAATTGAAGACCTCACAATTGTGGAGTAACGTTTTATTCGATCGTTATTATCATAACGAAGAAATTTTATCGCCAGCAATATTGGGCTTAATTATCTCTTAGTTGACCTTATTAGGTTCACAAGTAAGACAGGTCATACAAGTCGATCAATCAAATCGTATCCCGAACAGATATAAAAGTAATGTGCGTCATAACAATTACGTACGTAACATTCATAAATATGTATAGAAATTTGCTTCTGTTTGTAAAAAATAAAGTGTCATATTTTATGTATTGTCAAAATGTAGTTTACTATTAGTTTATCAAGTAAACGTAATACAAATTATTACATTTAAATAATAAACATAATACTTTGTATTACGTTTGTTTGTTGTAATAAAGCAAAGTGTCGACAGGAAAAATGATAATACATGCAGTACCAAAGAAAATTAAAAACAATAAATATATTATTTAATTAAGAATATAAGTTTATTTTGAAAACTAGAATTGTTTGAATAGCAAGAAAAGTAAAATAATATAGTGAATTTAGTTTAACATTTTACGATAGTTGTAATTATGTGCAACAAATATCAAGACAAAACGATTTTTTACAGCTTTACCATTTTCTGGTTGTGCAACATAATTAAAGAAACGTATCAATTACTGTGGGAAACCTTAAGAGGTCTGAATTCAATTTTAATTAACTCCGGTTAAGAGACATGGATGGTTTCTGGTATATATAACTTCTTAAAGCTGAGCATTGATAAGTTTATTATTACTGTTACTATTTGTTTGGTGTAAATTATGATGGTCTGTTTCGTATGTTTAATAATAATGGAACTGCAATCTTTAACAAGAAAAGTAGACTACTATATTATATTGTTTTAAGTAGTTTCTAAATTTCAAGAAAAATTTCTTCACAGATTGATATGTCTTAATATGATTACCATTCATTTGGTAGATGACTTATAACGACTTTGATAGCCAATCCCCTAATAATGATTAAAAAGAATTGCAGTTGGTTTCTTCGCTGATGAATATTTTAACGTAAGATGCTAAAAGAACTCTTCTAAATCATGTTATTTATGATATGAACATGTTATGATCAATTCTTGAAGAAATTTCAATTTTTTTTTATACATTAAAGTCACACACCAAATCACCTTTCACTCGTTCCTGTTCAAAGTAAACAGATTGGTTACACTCATAAGTTTTTACATGCAGTAGATATAGAAATAGAAAACTTTAACTAAATAGAAATGTATTTCTGTGCATTGTCGAAAGAAAAATCTCTATCATTTTGGACAATATATTAAAATAAAATAAAAGTCTCGAAACACTTGTCATGAATGTTACGTACGTATTGTTTTCATCCATGTCACACGATGACACCGTGTGACACGGTGTTCTTACAATTAGTCATATCATAATTGAAGGTTACTCGAACGATGTGACTTTGCGCAGATCGCGCAATTCTGTGGAATTAGGTTAACATGGGTTCGATAACTACCGTCTGACGAAGTATAATATAGGTAACATTGGTGTGAATGATGGACACTGGCCGATTTGAGGTTAGACACGTCGATTTCTGAAAACGTGCTAAAAAGCACGTGGCCCGTTGTAACTGCCTTCGAGAGCAGTGAGTCGCAAGGATTGCGTAAATCGAAGGACAGCCGATGGGGGACTCACTTTAGTGACGTTTCTGCGTCCAGCGGATGTCTCGTGTAGCGTGAATGCTCTTTTGCGCGGCATTTTCATCCACGCGGCGGCACACGCGACAATATCGGCGCGTGTTCACCCACGTTGCCTAAAGAAGCGCGTTGCTTCACGACAAGTCAAAAAAGTCAAAAAGGAGGCGACAAAGGCAGGTGTGGCAGAAGCGAGACAAGGAGAGGCGAACCAAACCGAAGCGCGAGCACCGGTGGAAGGCCGCACCAAATGCACGACTGCTGCCGACAGTGCCGACGCAACCGTTACGTCGGCTTGCGTCGGCCCCTTTGATGACGATACTACTGTGTGATCACGTGACTCGAGAACGAGCGGTGCCCAACTGCCCAGGCGATCGATGGAGGTTTACTGCGCCGACGCGGTGCAGTATAGTACACTATTGTGTGTAAAATGCTCGGTAAAATGCAACGTAATCCTTTAAAGTGTTGAAAAGATAGAAAAACTATCTTCTTGAGTAACTTCACTCGGCACGATATACAGGCAAAAAGATTAACTTGATCAAATGTAATACTATGCTTGTTGTTAGTCAAAGTATAATCTAACCAGGGCTGAGCATGTATTTGAAATACATTTTTATTTGAAAAACAGTATTTATAAGATAATTATATTTTGTATTTCATGAAAATATATAAAAATATTTTGTATTTTGCATTTCAATATTAATATTGAAAGATTGAAAGTATTTTGTATTTCAGATACTAAGATAAAATCAATCTTATTACTGCATTACAAAAACTTTTAATCTTTCAATTTTAAATACAAAATACCTCCAATACTTTCATATGCTTCGCCGAAATACAAAATACATTTATATTGCACATACTGTGTTTTAAATAAAAGTATTTCAAATACATGTCCAGTACTGAATCTAACACAGTAAGTATATAGTGTGTTTCCATTCACTACAAATTATAGAAGAAAATTGAAAGACTTACAATAGTTCAATCAAGAGATGAATCTTCACTTAAGACGAGCAGATCCTTGTTAAGATAATTATAAGCAAAAGCACGACACGTTCTAATATAAAAAGATGATTGGTTTTGAAGGAGAAATTTAGAATTGCTGGAAAGGATAACAACTAGCTGAAAGTCAATATTTAAGAAGAAAGGGATTCATTACATAGAATTCCTATCACAGTTGTGTTGGATGATTTCGGGGAGAAGTTTAGACACTCTGTTTTTATTTTTACAAACAAAATTGCAATACAGATAGCGGGATAAAAAATTTATAATATTATAAAGGAATATAGGAATCAAGAGACACGGTAGTGTCTCGCGCCAACCCAGTGAGAAATGATATTTCGAATCGATATCGATTTGACATCGAAATGATTTAGTCAAAATTATATCAATTTAAAGGTCGATTTTGATTCGATCGTATCAACGATTTCGAATAATTATTGATACTAAAAAATTCACCTGCAATCTTCCTCATATTCATATATTCGCCATCCAAACAAATCTTCAGCGAATTAATATCAATATCGACATTGAATTGACGTCGATTCGATATAAATTCGATATGACTGATCTCTATGAATATATTTTATTTATTTATTTTATATTTACACATTTTTTTACATAAAAAATTTTATTTTAATAAAATTTTCTCATTTTATGATGCTTCATCTTTAATTTTTTGAGATTAAATGTTGTATTTCATTGCAAATATATATATTAAAGACTCTTGAATAGAAAGATAAAGATACATATTCCTTTGTCTCGTTAATTAAATGTTATATGTTGCAATAAAATATATGTTTTTTCGCAATTTACAAAAAAAACTTTTTTTTTAGTTTATGTAAAATACATTTTTTATGGAAGATACATTTTGACACACTTGACGCCTTTTTTTTACCTTTTTTTTAAAAGGTAATTTTGTTAAGATAAGATTAGACACTATTTGTTAAAGAATTATTTTAAAGAAGTTCCAAGAATATTAGAAATTTTAAAATTCTGCGAAAGTAGTTGCCGCATAATAACGTATGATGAACAAGTTAGATATAATCCCTATGACTCACATTTACGAGACCAAAAAGTAGTTATTCACCCGAAGTTGTATTTACATTATGCGACGTAAGAAAAGTCGATTCAAATAGAATTCAATATGAAAAGTGGCAACGATTTCTATACAGTATCACAGCTGAAATATTTTACAATTATATTTTTTCTTTTTAATTTTAATATCAGTCTGTTTTTACTTTTGGATTGAATCAGAGAAATTATAGGTGGTTTACTAATTTTTTAAATAAGGATGTGATACTACAGTATCACACCCTTATGTGCTATTATTAAAAAAAATAGTTCTTTATTAATGAATAAGTCTTTAGGGATTTGTGTTTCTAATACTTGGATACTTATTTGTTAAAATATATTTTATGAGATACTCTACTAATTGAAAAAATAATTTCGAAAATTTGGTATTTACTTTGCGTATTTGAATCATGGTTTGTAATATTGGAAGGTTTTATCTTTATTTTTACCATACATTTTAAGATGCAATTAGAATATTAATCCTTTTATACATATTGTAACATAAAGGCTTAAAATCTATTCATAATAAATCGAAATCGTAAAATAGCGCGCAAAAGTTTGTCGTTAAAAATCAGTAACACTGTAACGGATGTTTAGTTAGTTCGAAAAGAGAGAAAAATTAATATAGGAAAAGAAATCGAACATGAAATAATATAAGTGATAGTAAGTAAACCACCTAATTTCTCTGATTCAATCCAAAAACAGACTGATATTAAAATTAAAAAGAAAAAATATAATTGTAAAATATTTCTGCTGTGATACTGTATAGAAATCGTTGCCACTTTTCATATTGAATTCTATTTGAATCGACTTTTCTTACGTCGCATAATGTAAACACAACTTCGGGCGAATAACTACTTTTTGGCGACGTAAGAAAATTCATGTAAATGTTGTCGAACTCGTTAATTAATGCCATCATACATAACATGAATCAAGGAAACTCTTCAATTCAGTCGAGAAAGAAGTTTTCAAAAAATTCCTTGATTTTGTCACATGACAGCAATTGCAAGTAGGTTATTTTATGATGTTATGGTTATAATGCCGAAAAATATGCATTTTTTTTTAGCAATATATCAAGAAATAATAATATAATATTTTGCTAGATTAAAAACATTATCTTCGTCAACATGTATATCAGATTCTACAATAGCGGATCTGAAGACAGATCTATTGAAAGACAGCAAAATTATGCTTGGTTATGGAAAATCTTCTACTCACGTTAATAAAATGGTAGCTGTGTGACATTTATATCATAGACATAAAATGTTAGACAAAATATGTTATGTCAAATTACATAATATGTTCGGGTATCAGGTTTCCAATGCAAATCTTTCCACGAGAAAATTGTGGAACAATTCGTTCAAGATGACCAGAAACTCCATTGCCATAAATGACGTAATCGAAGAAGGTTTTGTACTTAAAAATTGTGTACTTTTTATAGAATTTTGTATGGTAATATAGAACTGCTGGTTGGGAAGAAATTAAACTGAAAGTTGACTAGAATATTTTAATACATAACAAAATTTATTAGTACTTTTAAACAAAATGTTACATTAAGCATTTAGAGCAGTTGTAGATTTTGGCGTTACGTATTCGTTATCGCGTAATGTATTGATTTCAGAAAGTGAGCTCATTGGCATGTTGACGAAACAATTGCATTTAGCTGAGTCTCAAATGCGAAAAATGCAATCTGTTTTGACGAAAGCCGAGGAAGGCTTGCGAACTAAGGATCAGGAAATTGGACGCTTAAAGCGGAAGGTTCTCTGTACGCTTTTTTTAATCTAAGAATGTAGTATTATCATTATAGAATATAATATTATCATTATATTCATAGTTAGCTTGGCAGAGTTAATTTTTAAGCTATGTATTTGCATTGTGTGTTTATTAAATTTAGTTATTTTACAACATCGAATACATTTCTTCGCGTGTTTTATTTATATTTTTCTGTATTTTGAAACTTCTGAAAGATTTTTACAATTTTTTAAATGATATATATTATTTTGGTAGATTAAAGAATGGGAATCTAAGTATAAAAGTCAGGAACTGCTGCGAAAAAAGGAGCAACGAAGTCAGGCTAAGAATTCCGAATATTTTTATCAACGATGTCTAACGCTAGAACATAAAATCAGTCAAATGGAGGTTTAAATTTATATTTCAAATATGTTTGTTTGATGTATTTAAAACATAAATAGAAATTAGCAATTATGTCGGTTTGCAGAAGTTCTTGGCTGATTATGGATTAATATGGATGGGTGATGCCAAAAATACAACAAACATAGATAGTAGCAAGTAATTAAAATAAATATTTTATTACTAGCTAGAAATAAAAATAGCAATTCTAATAATTAGTAATAACTTTGTTATAGTAATGATATCAACATGTGCTATGAACAGTTAGTTACGAATATCGATCAGTTGAACCTAGCTGCGGGAAAGGGTGAAGTTCACATTCATCATAATGAGAAAGGAGGAGGAGCGACATTCAAAGTAATGCTCTAGTTTCGTAATACGTACTTTCATAGCATGTAAATATAATGTAGAATATTACTTGCAATTGAATAGAATATTACTTGAATATTACTCCATGAAATCCATGACATTACGCGAACTTTTTTTTATATGCGTTATAAATATCAAAGATATTAATGATTGATTAATTGAAATTAATTTGCTAATTAGTAATTATTGATATCAATGAGCATTTTTTAATGCATTTTAACTAAAGACTCCTTCCTGCATGACATTGAAATTTTATAAAAATGGTATGTGCATCGATGGAGAACCATTGCGATCTTACCATGATCCGACTGCAGTCTCGTTTATCCGTGATATTCTGGACGGATATTTTCCATCTGAATTGCAACAAGAATATCCTGACGGAGTACCCTTTATGGTAAATGTAGAATAATAGAATAGAATTTTAGGATACACACGAGATATTCCCCGCACTTTTTTTAGAATCTTTTCTAGAATCATTGTGAGATTAACAAAAATTTGATTAGAGAGAAAGAAAGTCTCTATTATTTTTTCCAATTAATATTTTGACTTACGCTTGTAGATAGAAGATCGTAGAACAGAATTGTATATAGATGATTCTGCTAGTTTTCCTGGTCCAGGATATCGTTTGGGAAAGCAGTCTCCAATGAATAACTTGTTATCAACAAATTTACGCAGATCAAATAACATTTACCAACGATATGCTCGTGCAAACTTTTC